GGTATGGTATCCATTGTTGCAGGCCATCAGTTCCATTATGAATGGAGTGAAAGATTGGTTTGCATCGCCAACAGTAAGTCAGACTCGTTCCTGGAGGTTGTTAGACTCTACCAAAGTTGCCCTTTGTCACCAATTCTGTTCATGACTTTTTTGGGCAGAATTTCTAGGTATAACCAAGAAGTGAAGGGGGTCCAGTGTGGTGACCGCAGGACCGCATCTTTGCTTTTTGCAGAAGGTCCTGTTGGCATCAACGGGCTGTGACCTACAGCATGCACTGGGGTAGTTTGCAGCTGAGTGTGAAGTACTGTAGCTGAGATGAGGATCACACCTCCAAGTTCTTGACTGGAAAAGGGTAGATTGTCCTTTCCTCATGGGGAATGAGTTACTGCATCAACCAGAGGAGTTCTCAGAGCATCTTGTTCATGAGTGAGGGCAGAAGGGAGTGGGAGATTGACAGGTGGCTTGGTGCAGCACTGGCAGTAATGTGGACACTATTGTTCTGTTATGGTAAATAGAGAGCTCTGTTCTGTATTTCCCATTCTATATTACTCTCTCTAATGATGTTTAATGTATCACAACACATCCATGTAAAGTACGTTGGGACGACACTGTTGTGAAAGGCGCTATATAAAAATAAATTGAATTGAATTGAATTGAGAGCTGAGCCGCAGGGCGAAGCTATGCATTTATTGGTTCATCTTCGTTCCCACCTTCATGTGTGGTCACAAGCTCTGGATAGTGACCAAAAGAATGAGATCATGGATTCAAGCGGCAGAAATGAGTTTCCTTCACAGGGTGTCTGGCCTCTGCTTTAGAGTGAGGAGTTTGGATTTTCGGTAGGAGCTCAAAGTAGAGTCTCTGCTCCTCCACATCGGAAGGAGTCAGTTGAGGTGGTTAATACATCTATGTAGGATGCCTCCTGGCTGGCTCCCTGGGGAGGTGTTTCAGGTACAGTATGTTCAACCTGGAAGAGACCTCAGGGCAGACCCAGGATACACTGGAGAGATTATATCTCTTGGCTGGCCTGGGAATGCCTTGGTTTTCCGCTGGAGGAGCTGGAGTAGGTGGCTAGTGACAGGGAGGTCTGGGCATCCCTGCTTAGACTGCTGAACCCATGACCCAACTCCAGATAAGTCGCACATAATGGATGGATGGATGGATGGATGGATGGATATCTTCATAAATATTGGTGTCATGTTCATATCTCATCTTTATATTTCATGCATTTGTTTCTGTTTTCTTGCTGCTGTTGATGTTTTTAGCAAATTGTATTATTTTAGCTTACGGACATACTGTAATACAGTTAAACAGATCTTCATATCTTGACTGAGGCTACAGTGCGTTACTTGACTGAATCTCCTGATTCAATGAACGTCTTTGGACAAATATTTGGACTAAGACAAAAATAGAAAATTGACAGTTACTTTCTGGCAAAAATTAGGAGTTACTGGGAAAAAAGATAACAATCTTTTGTATAATTCTGAGGAAAGTAAAGGTAAATTCAGCAGGTCCTAGACTCCAAGCAACAAAGCTGACCTGTCACATGGTGAGTGTCATGTGCTTAGTCTGCCACCTGAATTCTGGGTGAGCAAAACTGTGGCCTTTTTTCTCAGGTTCTAGTACAGCTGTGCATGGAAATTAAAAGCCACATGCAGCTGGATCCTTGCAGCCCAGGAGCTGTTTATATATGTAAGTCACACCATACCTGGTTTCCAAAGACATGCTATGGGCACATTTCTACAGCATGCAGAAGGGGGTGTGTATGAGTGGTATGAGAGGAATGTGATATTATAAGCATTAGTGATCATTATGGCCGGCAGTGCTCTGAGGCCTTGTATATTTTAATAGTGTAAATGTAAAATAACAAAGCCTTGTAACTGCCTCTAATATTCAACCATAAATTTCTATTAAGTTTGTTTTATGATGCTGGCGTCCTGTCTAGAGTGCTCCCCTGCCCCGTGTTTCCAGGATAAAAGTTTGGAAGATGGATATATTCATCCTCAAAAGCATAGTGTTTTTCTATGTGTACATCATGTCAGTCTTTTCAATTTTAAACTGTATTCAGATAGAACTGCTCAAAAACAGACAGATTTGGGTGTCTCAGTCCCATCAAGCCTCTGCGTGACAGACTGGGTGCACAAAACCGCTAAAAAAGTGACACATATTTTTGAAGACCTTTGTGTGGAGTAGAATCACGAATTCCTGCCTCTGTGGTAACCTCCCTTTGCGTAGGAATATTTGGTATATGTCTCAACATCACACTATGTGAGATAATAAGGTATATTAAAAGACACACGCTATTGTGACATTGTTGCGGCTGGGTGGGCGGTCAGCGTGGTGAGCTGTGCCATAAATTTGCGGAAACCTCCACGTCGGAGGGTCACACAGCCGCCCACCTGCTTGTCCCTTACCCTCTGACCCCAGATTAACAGAAGATCACTGGGTCCCTGTTCTGTCACCATTACCCCTGACAAGACCCAACAGGCACCAATATCAATGATCCTTCCCCCAGGACTGGGGAGTCAACCTGGACCCAGTTTAACCCCTCCTAGCTATATTTCAGGGTACAGGGACGTTACTTAAGCATGAGGGCAGCTTGGAAATGCTAATGGGATTGCAATTAAAATATCTCCATGGATCCCTCTTGATTCCTTTGTCCTAGGGCAAATAACACTGCCTTGTTTTATTTACCTTAAATCAGTATGGTTTTCTTAAGTATCCACCATTATGTCGGTGGAGATTATTACTTACAGTAGTGATGGTTTTTAGCTGTAATTGTTAATGGTAACTATATGTTCAGTCATATTCATTGTAAAACACTTTGGTTGGCTGCATGTTGGGACACAGGTCCTTGTGTCTGGTTGTACTGCTGACATGCTGGAGCCCAAGGCAATGTTGCAATGAGACCCATCTCCTCTGCTGCCAGAAGATGTTTTATCCAGTCGCAATGCAGATAACATCTCCCCAGCCTCCATGTTAAAATGGGCCCAATGTGTAAATATGCAGTTTATTCCTACGACGATAGGCAGAATAAAAACATGGACTGCAACCAAAAATCCTGATGCAGACTAAATGGACTTCTAAAATACACATTGGAGTAAATGCATGACGTACGGGGGGGGGGCAGGGGGGGAGCTGAATCCAGGCAGCACAGGGCACATGGCAGGGGAACAGCCTGGATTGGAAGCCAGTTCTTTACAGGGAACACTTTGGGCAAATTATTGATGCCAAATTGCCTAATAACATGGAAGGAAACCTGTGAGACACGGGGAGAATTTGTAAAATCCACAAAAAGAGTGGAGGCAGGATTTAAACCCCCTAACCTGTATGTATGACGCCCTGACCCACCCACTGAGGCACCCTGGCACCCAGAATTTAATTTTTATTGGAAAGCAGGACCAGTCCTCCGGCACGGCATTGGTCAGGATTCCTCGACAGTCAGCCCTGGACTGGTCACGGCTGAAATTCTAAAGTACAGACGACTAATAATTTCAATTTCAGAATATCACTTACTGCCCTCGAGTACCCATTTATAAAAACTACTCTGCTAAATAGTTTAAGATTGAAAACAGGATTTACTTCTTTTTTTTTTTAACAATCCCATGTGAATTCGTATCTTTCAAATACGTATTGGGCACTGTGACAGTCAGGAAAGGAACAAACTTTAACGTCTCCTGGAAAAGATGGCAAAACTTCAGAGGAGTACACTAAAATTGTCCGTCCACCCACCTAACAATCCATTAATCATCAAATCACTAATCCTGAGGAGACTCACTGGGGAGCTTGAAACCATCTCAGACAGCAGTGGCCACAAGGCGGGACTCCACCCTGGACAGGATGCCAACACAGGACACGTAACCTGCACACGTGACCTGCACACGTGACCTGCCACAGCACACTCAGTCATACACTAAGGGCAATGCAGAGATGCTAGTTCGCCTTACTGGATGTCTTTGGACGATGGGAGAAAACCAAATTACTTGGAGTAAACCAGCAGAGAACATGCAAATTCCCTGTGTGCTAAGCCATGAGTACTATTCTCTACAACTCCGGTTTGCCTGTGACACTTAAGGATGCTTGGTCACAACTGTTGAACAATACTGACTTAAATAGTAAGTCTATTCTTAGAAGTGCAAAGGCGTGTCATTCCAAGTGTCCCATAATCAGTTCTGTCAGAGGAATACAAGAAGTGGCCACTGTTTCTTTAACAAGGCTTTGAGCGAAGCCCAGGGCTGGGAGGAAGCAGGTCCGGTGAACAGGCCGCATGATTAACGATGGAGAAAATAAGGCAGCTATGGCAATGTGACCAGAGCATATGAGCATTTCTCCAGCAAGAAATCTGTGTCACTGGAAAGGAGAGGATATTTTACCTCAGCTCCCTCCAGGGGGATGACCGGAGGTAAGGCAGAGCGACGGCAGCATGAAGGACCACATCAATCAGTCTATTGGTGAAAACAACCGGAGGCGAACAGGTCAGTTAAAGGTCAATTAAAATAACCTGTCCATCTTCATACTGATATCCATAAAATCCACATGACAGAGAGGCATGAGGAGCTGATAATGGCATTTTAACAGGGGTCTTACTTGCAAAATAATAATAATAAAAATAATAATAATAATCTAACAATGATGACAGAAAGTGCACAGAAAGTTTTATTGTTCAACAGTTCGCCCTGAAAAGGGTGCTTAATCAAAAACAGATGTTTAAACTGAAGTCATAGCACAGAAAATATAAAAAACACAGCTTTATCCTAAAAAATAAATAAATAAATTGACTTGGATATAGGCTGCCCATCTAATAAAGACTTCTATAAAACACGTTGCGGTTTGCTTTCATTTAGATAATCGGAACTTTCCTGTGTATGATTCTCTACGCTGATAACTAAAATGTGGGAGGTTTTTTTCTGGAATCCTCATGGGCGAACTTTTTGGAAGCGTAGGATAGGAGTGTAGCGGGTACCGGTGGGGGAGCACAGAGAGGACGGGAAGAGTGAGTATATGCCTGAGAGAGCGAGAGAGAGAGCGAGAGAGAGAGAGAGAGATTTGGTATATGTTAAAGCATAGAGGAAGGCCAATGTTTTGTAGTTCCGTGAGTATTACCACCACTTCGTACGAATAACACTGAACTTATCGGGAGTGAAGTCTTCAGGCTACTTCAGTGGAAAATAATTTCATATGACTCTCATTATTTATATTATTTGCTTGAGATAATAAAATATCATTTTGAATGTAAAACGACCAATAAATAGACAAATTAAATATTTTCCTTGGACAGTAACCAAGAAAATCATTATGGAAAAATAGCATGAACTTCACGTACTCGAAAGTGGCAGCGTGCGTCACCACGGATTTCCACGTTACGGTTTACGATTCATTTCTGGGATCTGGAAAACTTGGAGTGTTCTTTGGAAACAGGCGATCTCTTGTTTTTTTACGGGTATTTTTGGAATATAAGTGTGTGTTGGAATCTATAGTGTGAGCTTTTTTTCTAGGGATGGCAGTATCTATTCTATATATTTTCTTAGTTTTTACGTTTTTATGGGGCACAGTCTGGAGCGCATCCTTTTCTAGTCGATATAATTCTTTCGGGGGGCAAAATCAACCCCAGACGCAGAATGGGGCAAGAGCAGCGAGCAGACACAGGTACAGTATTTTTTGTAAATTTTCCCTTTTCACTGAACTAATTTAAATCAGAAATTTACATTTGTTTTTCAACATTTGCTTTTATTTAGGTCGCGTACTGTGTAGTGTAATATGTAAAAGTATATCCATTAGGCTATATAAGTTAAAATGTTAATCGAAATACGTTTACTGACATTACAAACAGTCCCGAATTTAGCAACCTTAAAATTCTGTCAAATAAATTGCCTAATGCAAGAAAACACGGGAAATTGCGCCTTATTAACTATTTAGAATGACTGAGAGTGGAAGAAGGTGATATAAAAGTTGTTTCGTTTTTGATCCCGTTTAGTGTTTTTCCTGTCTTCGTGTGATTATGACGAATATGGCAAAATTAAATTTGGCAAGTGACAATTATGATTTTATAAGAAATTTGAAGACAATACAAGGAATTCAAAGAGCATAAAAGAGACAGATCGCTATCCTTAACAGACTGAGTATACGAGGCCCCAGAGGAAATGATAGTGTTAAGCATTTAAAGCGCTGCCTAATATAACACGACCGAATCCTTCACTGTATTTCCAGGAAAATTAAACAAATAGAGAATAAACCTGAAAACAAGTGTGCGCTGCAGGTACATAAAAAATGCGATAACACTTTACTTAAAGCTGTCATATAAATGCATTATAGATACCTTCATGATGGATTATAATGCATTCATAAAGTATTACAATCACGGCTATAAATATTTAGAAAAAGGCATAACATATTATAGCCATGTTTATTGTGCATTATCAATGCTGTCATGTATACTACACTATAAATTCATTCATTGTGCATCATACTTACCATTATAATGCATTATGAAGCTATTTATAGTGCATTATAGATGAAAGCTTCATAGAGCATTCATAATGTGTGTTATAATTCATAAAGTGTTACCAAAAATCTTGTAGTTATTTTAGGGAATATATGCTGTATTAAAGTGATAAAATATTGAAACATTAATATATTACCATTGCACAAAAACGTGGATGTTGTTTAGTTCAAATAAGTGTTTTGGCAACTAGTGACAGAAAGATAACAGCTAGGTTCTAACCCAAGAAGGAGATTAAGATTGGGTTAAAAGGGAGGGTTACAGATTAATAATGGAGTATATGCAGGCTAATTCTGAGCCAGATTTACAGTAAGCTATTAGCCATTAGCTTTTTAGCTTATAGGAGAATTACTGTGCCATTAAATATAATGTGCTGCTTTCCCCAAGCCAACAAGCGTCCTTTGAGGAAATGTACTGGTGTCATGTAATTAGCTGGGTGTGATGTGGAAACTTCTCAGACGGTGATGTGATTGGGGCCTCCAGACCTCTGAGCTGATGTAACTCAAGGTTTTTTTAAAGTAATTTCACTAATTTCAAATAACAGGTATGTGGGAGACAACAAGCCATATCAGAGTTTGGCCTTGCTGGCCTTTGGTGGGTCTCTGTGGCTGTACGCTGGCCCTGCGGGGCTTGCTTAGTGGTGGCGTACTGCAGAGGCTGTGCCAACTGTACGTGGTGTTAAGTGCAGCTCGTTTGACTGAGTTCGTTTGAAAGGCTTAACTTGCGTGCCGTGCCTGTTTGGGGAGCACCTCCAGAGAATTTAAATAGAGCAGACGCTGTGAAACCCCCTCCTGGAATGTCACCCCAACCCCTCTGCTGTCAGCACACGTGTCATGTGGGACGCCCCTCCAGCCCTGCGACACGGGCACTTGGGGAGACAGCAGCAGACGAATCCCCCCCCAGAGCTCACGCTCACACCCCCATCCAGGGCCCAGAGAATGCGGGTCCTGCTGTAGCGGCCTGAGCATTTGTTTGGACAGATGTGCTGGCTGCTCGTCTGGAGTCTACGGTTTCTTTTTTTTAGTTTGAACACTTCACTTTCAACAGAATTCTCCAATTAAAAAATTATTTCCGAAATCTTAGCGCATTGTTGGAAATTAAATTCAGTTGTCGGTAATGACAAAATCTTAACAGTCAGTGTTTCAAACAGAGCAGTGTTTCTGCTTTAGGGGAGATGTGGTCATAAAACTGGAATTGGGGTGGGGGATGTTCCTGAGGGCTGCGTCCGTCAGCTGGCTCTCAGCTGGGGGCCTGTCAGACGGGATGTCACAGTGTTAACAGCAAAGGCCTGCGGCTCCCTGTGCCCCCCATGGGCGTTTGAACCTGGCTCCTTGCCGCAGGACGGTTCCCAAAACCCAGAGACACACCGGATTCCCCGAAGCCCTCTTGGGAGACATGTGACCACAGAGAGTGACGGTGCTCTCCCTGAGCGGCCGGCGCTCATGGCGTCATGCCAGCGTATCTTAAGCATTAAGAAGTTAGAAGTTAGCGCATGTTAGCCAGACGAAGCTAAATGGAAAGATGGAAGGAGATTTGAAAGAGTTACACACGAGGTGCAGATTTGTGACCTTGTGACACTTGGGTAAACCAAAGCAATAACATATAGCAAAACATTAACTAAATGCTTTGGAGTTTGAATGTGTTTAAAACCTGTTTCACTGACTGGTAAAAAATAGCCAAATGTAGCAGAGAAGGTAATCATATACAATGTGTATCAAACATAAACGCATCTAGTTAGTTTATTTATCTGCAAGCCTGCATTGTGTTATATTAATTTCGGTCAATGCTTGTAGCCATGAGTGCCATCAGGTACCAGGGACAACAGCGCACAGGCATGGTCACGGCGTCCGGCAGAACATGCCAATATGGTGCATGTTATTGTTTCAGGGCCTCTGTGATGAAATGGAATTATGGGAAGTGTGCGAATGGCAGAGGACTCCTCCTTAGCAGACTTTGTGCAGCATTGGCTGCATCCTTAAGAGCTACTTGGGACTCCTGGCAAGGAGAGCTTTGGGCCGTCTCGTCTAAAAATATGCTGTTTAATGAGCGAGCATCCTGAAATAATTTACCAGTGGAGTCGGTCATTAAAAGTGATTGGTGAGGTCTGGGTTAAAAGAAAAAAAAAGTTCCTCAAGAGTATTATTGTTAGGAAATAATCTCACACTGAATAATTTTTAGAAGTTTTTCTTTATTTGAATAAAAAAAAACATATAAGTATAATAAAGTTAATATATGTAGTTAAGTATGTGTATGTCTGTGTGTGGACATATATATACACATATACACACACACACGTTAGGACAAGTAGGTATAGTAAATGGGGAGATATTTGTATATACTTAAAAATACCAGAAATCTATAAGGTGATACATGCATTTCAGGTCAAATTGATTTACTGAGATGTATAAAGGTTTTAATTTGAAAAACTTGGCCGAAGACCAAGATATTATGCTTTTATCTGAAGGTCCCATCTGTCAGCCTTGTCCTTTTCTGCTTATAAAAAGGTAGTTTCCTTCAGATAACAATATAAAGGACATAATGAAATTGTTATTGTTTTGTTCTTGAGACTCCCGTGATCTGCATATTAGGGCAGCCTAGCCGAAGTTCACTTGGGACCACATTACATTCGCTTTGTACACTTAAATCAGCCTAACATCCATATTGAAGACTTATTCTCTTGATGTGGTTTGGACAGGAAAATGGTTTGGTTCCGCAGCTCAAGTGAAAACATGGATTAGATTGAAGCTGTCGGTGATATCCTTTATCTGCCCTAGTAATAATACCTGACATCAATGACCAGACCATGTACCTAATGCTAAACAAATACTGCTGTCAATTCCCATCCCACTGCAAACACCAGTGTCCTCAGTTCCCTTCGGCTTTTGCTTTAGCTGACAGACCTTAAAATGAAGGTTGGCACGGATCGGCCACTCAGAAGCAGCTGCGTCTGGAGGATGTATCTTTTCTGAGCAACGCCTGCGCAGTTTAAGTGGTCATATGATGGCTATGGCCGCCCCGCTGGCATCTTAGGAATGGGCCGGGCCGGGTCTCTGTTTGGATCCTCAGCAGTTCCCGCTAAATGCTCTGAAACGACCCCAGTGGCTGTGGGAAAATGTGAATAAGATCGTGCAGAGTCAACATGCACTGGCTGCGAGCAGGCCGTCGGATGTGTGTGGGGGGCGGTGGATTCTGGGGGGGGGCAGTGGGCACTGTTAATTTAATCTCCCCGCATGACACGAGGCATGATGAAGGACTTTCAATAATTAGATTATTAAAGAGATTATTACCATAAACTCAGGGTGCTGGTTATTTAATTGGCAATTAACCTTTTTCATAGAACACGTGCACTACAGTGGTACATTTCATGATATAATGAGTGCTGCAGGGTGGTTTTGCGGATAACACAGTAACCTCACCCCCCCTCCCCCCCCCCAGGGTTAGGAGTGTGAATCCCAGCCCCAGGTTCTGCGTGTGTAGAGTTTGCATGTTGTCCCTGTATTTGTGTGAGTTTCCTCCTGTCGTGCGGAACCCTGCCGTTTGATGTTCGGGTTTCTCTAAATCACCCCGATTGACTGCCCTCTGATGTACTGCATCCTGTCTGGGATGCCCTCCTGCCCAGTGCTCTATTACTGTTTACTGGCTAAGCGGAATGAGCAGTGAATCCTGAACTCTTAGGGCAATGTTTAGAAAACTGCAAAAATGCCTGAAGTCATTCATTGTCCAATTGTACATATTGAAGCATGAATGTATTTATTAAATTTACATTTTTCTTCTGATTTAAATATGAAGCATTTTATGTAGCATTTAGTAGCATAAATTATACATTCATGCACGCACTTAAATAATTTATAATGTCTCAGCAATAACTGTCTCCTATGCCTTTGGCCAGAAACACTAAAACCTTTGTATACCTACTCGGTACAAAGTAATGTTTCATTAATAGCAAAATTGTCTTAAAAGCTCTTGGAAAGCTGAACCTGACCGATGTAGAGTCCGTTCCCTATTATGTGTTTTACTTGCAGGAGTAAAGGGGATGCAAACATCACAACGTTGTGTCTTGGTTGCTGTGATACCTCCCAGGTCGTAATTGCAAGTAGCACGGCTTAAGTGCTGCATAAAATATAGAGCTTAGTGTGCTTAAGCAACTCTGATAATGCTGGAACAGTGCTGTAAAAAATAATGAGATGGGCATAGTGTGAGGCAGGAGGTGATCTGGGCTCTGGTGTGGAGCAGCACTAAGCGGCCTGCAGCCCATGTAGCGCTGACAGATTACAGTGCAGTTACCGTTATCTCGCAACCCGAGCATTACGGCTCTATGTGGGGGGAAGCAGGGCGTAATGGTGAGATGGCAATGACATTCACATTCATTATTGTAACCGAAACAGATGGGGAATATCTTGATGAATCTTGTGGGCGGTGATTACAGGATACGCGCAGTTATGTTTCAACTCACTGAAACCTTCGCTTCAACTTCGCAGCGACTACCTGCAGAGTTAAAACGCAAGCGTTTGGAGAGAGGCAGGAGTCAGATTTAACATCGCAGTTTGTCTTACCTCTGCCAGTCAGTTTTGATTGTCAGTGGCTAACGTTAGAGATTTCGTTTTTTTGTGTTTCTCTGCTGTCGGTGCTTGTTTTCGATACCAAGACGACTTTCGTGCTTGAGGCTGTTTTCACCCAACACACTAGTGCAGTGATTATTCATACCCCTGCAGGCAACCAGCCGTGTAACCTGGTTTTAGGAGCTACACATGGCTTTGCATTCTGATTTATTTCCATCCTTCCCATCATGGTCATCATTTTTTTAACCTTGTATAAATACTTTAACACACAAACATGACTCCGACTGTTTCTTCCCAGTTATAACTTGTCTGACTGGACAGAAGGCCTCTGAGAAATGCCTTTGACAAATGCACACATGCTGTTCAACCCAAGCCTGCTCAGATGCAATCTCTGTAATTCAGCGCAGTGCAAAGTGGAGATACAAATAGCTACTGTTCCTGTGAGTGGAAATGATGAGAAATGTTCAGAACAGGCATTCAAGCGGGGAAGTTAGTGCGACTGCAGGGAACAAAAAAGCCCCGCTTTTCCTTATTTTTGTACTTTGGCCTCTCTCCCCTTCAGCATATAGCCAGACCGTTGGAGAGAGTTAAGGAGGTAAATCAGACCTTTTTCCACTGCTTGGCAGGACATTGTGGCAATATGTTGACTTGATTCCAGAGTAAGACCTCGCTATGCTTTCAAGTCACTTTTCCAGTTAATTTATATACATTCCCAGCAGTTTACAGTGTGGCAATATGATAAATGTCAAACTGGGGGGAAATATATTTTAACATGAAAATAATGAAATGTCTTCTGACCTGCTGATGTAATTTATATAGTTTTTTATTTTCTATTCTGGGAGGGTGAGAAAAGACAGAACAAGACAAAGCTTGGGCATCTGATAGCTTATCTGTAAGAATGTCAGCCTTATTTAGAATGTTCCTTAATTAACATGGACTTTTCTCTCCTACAGTATGTATATAGAGCATCAGAGACTTCCTAAACAATCAATGATTTTTTTTTTCTTTGCACAAAGAATATTAACAGGCCTTAAAGAATATTGTTTCTGAATATTGTGTCTGAATAGCCATTTGGTTGAAGGATGTTGCACATATAGTATATTTCTAATATGCTTTGAATTGAATTGAATGTATAGTTTCAGTTATGCTGCACGTGCACCGATCTTAGTACAGAGGGAGTGTTTCTCAGTCACACGTTCTGAAATAAATTCCTTGCAGGAATTTCCAGGAAATGTGCGGCCTCTAGGGGAATCGGATCCTTCACCCCTCTAGTGTTCAGCGGCCCGATCTGTGCCTTGTCAGAAGTCTGCTGTGCTGCTTCATGCATATCTGCTTGGAGGTCAGAACACTGGCCTATCGGACACTGAAGGAGCAGGAGGAGGTCAGAGGTCGCGACACAGCTCCCTGGGCCACAAAAAAATCTCATCATGAAGAAAATCTCAGCAGGAAAGCTTATTGTATTCATTGAACTTTTAAAGTCATTGCACTGGATCCACAGGGATTCTTATTTGGACATAATGGCACTTATTTATTTTTTTCTAACATTGCTGATGACTGAGCTGCGCAATGAAAGGCTAAATGCATTTTGAGGCAGATGAATTATAGCCATCGGATTGCCTGAATCTTTCAGTCTGTTTTCAAATAAGATCTATATGCTTTACCCGTGTTCTGATTTGTGAATCAAACATTTAAAAAAATAGAATTCTTGGCTTCTGAAGACTTTAGCCACTTAAGCATGGTATTGCTTTCCTTTAATGTCATTGAACCCTGAACCAGACATTAACCAGTGCTTCTCTGTCCCTGGAAAGTTCTGCAGGTCACAGTATGAACTCGGTTACCTCTGGCAGTCACGTGTGCTAGTGGCTCCTTGGAAAATATGACAATGAAGGAACAGCATTTATAACTGCGTGGAGATTAGAGGAGCTCGTGAAAGAGGTTTCTCTGGTAGATTGAGTTATCACAGTTTGTGTTGGGCACAGAGAGACAGCACATTGAGGAAAGGCAATCTTGCCAAGAAACATTTTTTCCTGTGGGCCATCTGGACCTGACCCTGTGGTGAATGGGATTATGGAGGACTGTGAGTGTGTCAAAAGCGAAAACTCCTAATAACGGCTGCAGAACAGCTAGTGAAAATACTGGAAAGCAGAGACATGGTGTTACAGCAAAATGATAACTGTCACATAATTAACCGAGTGGATAATTACAGAAGCTGGTCACTGTGCCCTGACTGGCAGCTATATATTGTATTCATTGATGCTGTTATCCCCAGTGTTTTTCAGCTCCTTGCAGTCAAAAATAGCTGCATACAAGCAGGGTCCTCATTTTAGCTATTTAGAGTTAAAATTGGGTAAATCAGAGATAATTTTCCTGAAACAGGAATGGAAAATTAGCTATGGTATGACTCTCAGAGGGTAACACGATCTCTCACAGCCCAAGCTCACAGATTTGGCGTTAACCTTTGCTTCTTGTGTGAATATGCATTCCCTCCTTCAGTTAATATGGGTTTTCTTCAACAAGCTCTTCTAACCCCTTATTGTGGTAAGGCTCATGGGAGAACTTGAAACTTTATACCATATAGCATAGTGTATAAGGCTGGGGGTACACCCTTATGCTATTCAGATGTTTGTCTGTGCTTCTTCAGGAAGATTCCTTATTAACGTGTCATTAATGAAGACCTCATACATTTGTGCTCCTTTGCAGTGGTGGTCCCGGCAAAATGTGTAGCGGTTATAAGAGGTCTGTGCCACTAGGGGGCACTGATCAAAGCTTATGTTAGCTTGCCAACTGTAGCTGTTTGCACATGGCCGAGGGGCGAGGACTGCTGTTTAACTGGCTCAGCTCTCTTTCTGTCATGCTGAGACCAGTCTGAAGAACACGTACGAAGGCCTGCTGAGCTGATGGCCGGGAGTCACTCCAGTGGGTTACATCGTCTCAGTGGGCTCATTATTATCAAATGATCCTTATTGCATGGGGAAGATGAGGCTTTGGAGTCCAAGCAGAAGCGTATGAACTCACAGAAGAAGCAGGGAATCAGGGTCACCTTGCGGTTCTGTTCAGCATAGCAGGGGGACTGCAGTGACATGTGTCCTTTCTGTTTCAGAAGAGCACAACAAGCATTTAGGCCTAGTTACATTTTAAATGACTCTATGCAATGTTCTTAAAAAATCAATAAGCAATTTATTGAGAAACAGGTATGACTGAGGTCTTATGTGTTTTTTTTTTTTTACTTGAGGACCACAGTACTGATAAAGCCAACAATCACTCAGCAATCGAACAAAGGTGCCCCCAGTCTAATTACAGGCAGGAACTTTCGAAGACCCCTAAAGAAACAGGAGTGCCCCTCACTATGCCTGCTGGATATCCATGTTGACCTCTCCTCCTCCCCACAGGAACTGGTGTGCATATGTGGTGACGCGGACGGTGAGCTGCGTAGTGGAGGATGGAGTGGAGACCTACGTGAAGCCGGACTACCAGCCCTGCTCATGGGGACAGGGTCAGTGCACGCGGGTTGTGTCGTAAGTATCCATCCACTAAACTCTTTCATCTTTGGCTGTAAGTAAATATTAAGTCGAAAAGTGTCCAATTTATATACAGTCATCCATCGACTTTCATCCTATTGAGCAGTGTCTGATTGTGCTTACATCTCTTAAGGGCCTTAATGAAATTTACTGATCGACATCCGACGCAGACATACTGGATTTTAGCAGACGTCTTTTGCCATCTGCACGGCATGCAGCAAGACTCAAAAGACAACAACTGCAGTGCCAACATTTGGTCAAATGTGTGTGATGTTGTATCTTAAGTTATACAGTATATTTGACCTCTGCTCTTTAATGGTTGAGATACGTCCAGATTGACTTATGTCATCACTTCCGGAACATAACCCGGATGTAACTCGGTGGATACCTCTTATTGTACGATATTGTATTATTTGAAAGGAATTGTGTGATCAAAGGTTTTAGTCACTGCAGACCTCTTGGCATTCTATAACACTAAATAAATACATGGGCAAAAATAGTTTGCAGAGGTTCTTCAAAATTATTAACAGCTGCAGCCATAAAGCAATAGTTTAAATCTTAGCTGTCCACTTGCGGCGGCTTGAGGAGACAGGAAGTTTATTGCTGAAGCGCGTGTCACATCCTGTCACTGGGAGGGGAGATAAAGAGAGAGTAGTAAATGAGGATATCAGCAGCCAGACAGATGGCGCCAGATGATTTTATGACAGAACAGCACTGCTGGGTTACATAAGCCAAACACAGGGAAATGTAGAAAGGTGTACTGTAAATACCCAGTGTGTTTAGCAGTGCTTCTTCTACAGGATCTGTGTTTTCATGGGTAAGACGGGAGAAGCAGTTGAGTGCTGGAAACCTGTGCAGATGGAGAGTTCTTTGTGAGGGTTCTGGGCATGCATAAAGGTCTTTTGTTAACAGCCGCTTGGCTCTGGATCCCCGATGGCAGCCTACACGTACAATCCAGATGTAAGTGCTTAATCCCACATTCCCAGATTGGCTACACAGTGAGCGCTATGCTAAGAATGAGGCTACACACAATTCCAAGATTCACAGTCAGACCACTGCAAGAATTACGCAGGTGACTAATATCGTTACCTCTTCCTCTCTAATAGCAGAGAAAAGGAGAGGCTTCCTTTATTTTTAAGTGATTCGTAATAAGTGCGTGTCATAGGAATGTAATGGCCCATTACTGCCTTGTTTTGCAATCCTCCTTCTGCTGTTGTAAAAATAAAATGCAGTTCTGGACTGCTTTGTACACGGGCCTTAAGTGTAATCATAAGTCATTCTTTGTGCAAATGGGAAATTCTTCGAAATTAGATCAGCATTGTACATTGCAACCAGGAAAAATTAACAGCTGACTTTAAAAAAAAAAATCAGCCCAGGGTCATCTGAATAAGGATGTTGCGCAATGTTTTTTTTCATTTTTTTAAAAGTCATAAATGGAAATCAGAGTAGCAATGGTTAGAATTTAGACTAAATAATTATATACAATCTATTTGTTAACCTTTACAACTAGGAACCCAGAGTAAATGGAAATTGGTAATAAGTATATAAATTTACATGTTCATTTTGAAACCAAGCAAAATTAAATTAAAATTAAAGTTAAAATTTAAATGGCAAGATCAGGTATTTTACAAGACAGGTATTTCAGTGGTATTTTTGTTGTTTTTCTTACTGCGTGTCTGAGCTGAAATTAGGTTTGCTTTTGATTTTTCGTATAATTTTCTGTCCGAAAAAGACGTACAAAATAAACGCGACCCTAATGAGCCAGAAAACGCTGGAAGCCACGTTTTGCTTCACCCAATAATGGCTTTTCAGCAGACAAAGCGAGAAGTGATTAATGGTCTAAAAATGCGAAATATCCTTCATTAACTATGAAATGGATATGGTACTTTAAATTTCTTTTGGAAATGAAAGAAATCCTGCCATATAGCAAGTACAACTCAGGAACAGGAAATGTGCTTGAGGTTTCTCAGATCTGCAGTTCATTGGGCAGTGCTGTTCCTTCCCACCTCCAGATGCTTCACACCTGTATATTCTCAATGCATCATGTCTACACATCGTGTTATACTCTGAACCAATCACGTTAAGACTTACAGTGCAGTAACCATTCAAAAACAAGCTGTTAACAGTACAAAGGGGGTTATCAAACTTAGCGACGTCATTCAGTTCATAGCTTAACCAGACCTATGGTTGAGGAGCCTTATACTAGCGGCACTTTTCCACTAGCATACAGGAACCAGGCTGTACCCAAGCTGTATCATCAAGAGACACTGGTTACTAGTTCCAGGTCACTTAGGTTTTCCACTAGCATACAGGAACCAGGCTGTACCCAAGCTGTATCATCAAGAGACACTGGTTACTAGTTCCAGGTCACTTAGGTTTTCCACTGCAGCAGGGTCAGTTTGGTAAAGGAGAGCAACAGTGACATGAAACCAAAGAGATGCTTATTTACATTTCACATGGTGTGCATTATGATTTGCTACGTGCAATTATTCAGTGGTGGAAAGTTCAGGTTCAAAAAGGACTAATCCAGACCAAGATTTTGTTTCAACTAACCAGTTTAATATAAATAGTCACATTGGCAGAGTACTCAACTGGTTAGTTGAAACAAAATCTTGGTCTGGATTTTTACTTTCTCGGCCTGAACTTTCCACCTCTGCAATTATTAATGTTATTATTTTTTAACTGTGTGTTAATTTCTGCTAGCACTAGTCTGTGGGAATTGCCATGTTGTGTTAGCATCAAACTAGCACAATTAGTATTGGCTTGCATAAATTTGCATTATGAATCCATTCTATTCAGCTGTTCTATAGTACATTTTCAAGCAGGAGGTTGGAAATTTTCAAGTTCCAAGTTATCAAGAATGCATCAATACTTTGCAATATGTGATATTAATAATGAATGATATACAAAACATGTCCTTTTTTCCTTCAGATAATCAATGCAAATCAATGTAGAACACTGATATCTCCATATTGGTGATTATGCAACCAGCTTGGTTTGGTCATGCTTTCTGTCTTTTGGTGATAAGCAGGGCCATGTCAGCACGGGTACGGCTTGGGTACGGCGTGGGTACAGCTTGGGTACGGCTTGGGTACGGCGTGGGTACGGCTTGGGTACGGCTTGGGTACGGCTCGGATAATTTACAATGGAAAACCGTCTTGGGTTCGGCCTGGTATTAGATGGCAGTGGAAATCTGCCATGGGATACATTGTTTATCAAAAAGGGTTGTCATGGTTGCTTATACAGAGCCTTTACACACACCTCTGGGATCTACGCCCAAAAGGCTTATGTATAATGAATAGACTACAGCCTATCTATAATGAATATTTGTTAATTAAGTAAATTTCATAATAATAATATTTTGCATAATAATAATAATAATTAATTACAATTATTCACAAAATAAGTCTGAGTTTTATACAATCCCCAAATCATTACTGAATAATATGAGACATATTGGCGTAAGATTGCACATTTGGCCTGTGATGAATTGCTACCCCCCCCAGGGTGTTCCCCAGCTTGGTGCCTGATGCATTCTGGGATAGGCTCCAGTCTCATCCATTAGCCTTGTGTTGAAGTTGGATGATGAAAGATTTCTGTTGAGTTTACAGTTTACTGCACATAAAAATGTGGAAACATTCCCCTATCTTGCCGACTTCAGGTATCGGACCTACATGAGGCCCCGGTACAAGGTGGCTTACAAGATGGTGACAGAAATGGAGTGGAAATGCTGTAATGGCTATTCTGGGGACGACTGTAATGAGGGACCAAACGAGCCATCCATCACCCAAATCTCCACCGCTGGACCTCGGCCCAAGCCATCCCGTCCAGGACAGGCTGGCTCCAGCACTAACCCGGGTCAAAATGGTCGAGACGGTATGTCAGCTTTTTGCATATGATGCCACCGTCAACTGCAGTATGTTATTCCAGTACTAAACACAATATTTAATCGGTGACTGGATAGGCAGAGATGCCTATATTTCAAATAGACTTTCTCAAATTATAAGATTAAACTGCAGTGAGTGTGACCTGCAGGTCTTTTCCACTCTAGGGAGAGGTGACTATGATAAGATGAAGCAGCTGGAGGACAAGATCCAGAGTTTAACCAAAGATCTCCACGACTTGCAATCTACTCTCCGGAGCATGAACGAGAAGTTCCAGGAGGAGCTGCGAAAGCCTGGTACCACTGGCAAGAACCCAGCAGATGCTGCACAGCCAGAGATAAAAGAGACCATCCACAGCATCCAGGCCAAGCTGGATCAGCTGGACAATATGACCCGAGCCCACGACAAGACGCTGGTCAGCATTAACAACCACCTTGTTAATGGCAAGGGTGGCAGCAATGACCTGAAAATACCAGATGGAAGTCAACTCTCAGTGATGAAGGAGGAGATCTTGAGGGAGCTGGAGCACCGAGTGAGCTTGTCCTGCGCCGCTTGCCAGTCTGGCATTGAGGACCTGCAGTGGCAGCAACAGAAGGACCGTGAGAGGATCCTTGCCTTGGAGAAACTTGTCAGCTCCCTAAACCAGAAGCATGGGCAAATGCTAGACAACATGCGCAGGGATTCGACGCGATCCCAAGCCTGTTGTGACCAGGTGAGTGACCTGACCAGGAGACTCAGCAACATGGAGCGGAAGATGAGCTCAGCTGAGAAGGCCCATGATGTCCTAAGTGACCGTTTAGAAAAGGAACTGACTGGGACCAGTGGGGCTGGAGGCATCTCAAGGGTGACTGAAGAAAGGTTCAACAGCCACTTGCATGACTTGGAGCGACGGCTGAATAGCACAGTGCAGAAGACAGAGGAGAATTGTGCTTACATGGAGAATGACTTGAAGGATTACCTTCATAAGGAACTAAATAACCACCATAATTTATTTATGCATCACTTCAATGAGCATCGCAGCAAAATTACAAATTTAGAGGTCGACGTGGGGACTCTAAAAAACAAAGTTTATGACTATGAGAAGTGTGTCGTTGAACTGGAGAACATAACATCTTACATGGACAAAAAATTAAACTCAGCAGTAAGCCTCTGTAGGGACTCCTGTGTATCCAAGGACAGCACAGGCAGAGGAGATGATACCGAAGATACTGTGAAGTCACTGGAGTGGAGGGTAATTGCTAATGAGGACGAAATTCAGAAGTTTGATACCAGGCTGAAGGATCTCAGTATAACAGGTGACTCAATGAATGACAGAATTGTGAACCTCAGTCATGATGTTCGCAAGATTAAGTCCCTCACAGGGGAAAATGGGGAGCATTTCAATAGAATCGTCACAAGGATTCAGAATCTTAGTAAAACATGTGAAGATGATGTGAATTCTTTGAGAAACAGCACAAGCAGGGCTTTTAACAATTGGCAGACGCAAATAGATAACATGTGGAATAGAATAGACAATGATGAAAGCACTTGTTCTCAGGTGTGCTCATCCCTACAAGAAGAAGTGGGGAGTCTGAAGGAAGATGTGGAGAAGTGTAGTCGTCAGTGCAAAATTACCTTGGAGCAACCAACTGAGGAGGGAGATCTGGGTCCAGAGAAGCCATTGGATGGACACAGTGTCATTGGCAGTACATCACATGGGAATTTGAAGGCCATCCAGGGAGAGCTGTCTGAGGTTATTCTGACATTTAGCTCCATCAACGACACACTGAAGGGGCTTGAACACAGTGTTCAAAAGCATGACAGCGTCATCACAGATCTGAGCAACACCAAGGACAAGATCATCTCTGAGATTGACAAAATCCAGCAGGAGATGAGCGAGCATGTGGAGGAAAGTAAGAACCGCTTTGACCGGGTGGGTCAGGAGATCCATCGGTTCGGTTTTGAGATGGGTGACTGCAAACGATCTGGAGAAGGACTAGAGAAGAGATTGTCTAAGATGGAGAATGTCTGTAGTCGCTTGGATTCCATCTCTGACAACCTGCAAAAGATCAAAGAGGGGCTGAACAAGCATGTCACCAGTCTTTGGAGTTGTGTCAGTGATATCAACACCACCGTCATCTCCCACAGTGGATTCATTGACGAAATCCAGAAAACTCAATTGGATGGAATCCATCGGAACATTAGGCACCTTAATTCTTCCATGCTACACATCCTTCAGGAGTTCCTGAATTTCTCAAACCAAGACTTTGTTGGTAGGAAACATTTTTATGTATGTCTACATCAGGGGTGGCCAATCTTATCCGCAAAGGGCCGCTGTGTATGTGGGTTTTCGCTGCAACTCCCTAATTAGGTCACTAATTAGAGGACTGATTGGCTGAAGAGTCCTCACACCTGGGTTTGAACAGCTGACCTAAAGGTCACCCCAAAAACCTGCAAATACACCGACCCTTTGCGGATAAGATTGCCCACCCCTAGTCTACATGGACATTTATATCTTGACCTTCTTACAACATGCCATTTAAATATTTTGTTGAAAACTCCTTGTAACCTATTGATGCAGCTTAACATGACATAATTCAAACAAACAAGTTTATTGTAACATTACTTGAGAGGGCACACGTAACATTGTAACTCAGTTACTACTAAAGTACAAACCATGAACAAATATAGTAACTGCATGAATACATGAACTGTTACAATTGATTAATGATGAATGAACATGGCATGAGTACATAATTTAGTTTGTGGTTAATTAATACGTTAAGTAAGAGTGTACTACTATGTTATTTGTGCTCTATCAAGTAAAGTGGTGTATTCTGAACTGAACGGAACCCTTCTTTGTTTCTGACAGGTCTGCCTGGACCTCCTGGGCCTCAGGGAGAAACAGGACCTGAAGGGCCTTTAGGACCAATGGGTCCACCAGGCAGCGATGGGCCAATAGGATTGCCAGGTTTACCAGGTCACATGGGACCACCAGGTATAGTTGGTCTATAACCTCCCACTCTACATTAATGTTGATAATCGTACCAGAAACAGTAGCCGGCTGAATAACCTTGGACAAGCTAAAGTTAATACTGACAGCACCCAATTCATGTTGAATTTTGACCTTTATCTCCTAAATCTTATCATTGTCTCGTCATCATTTTACAAAGGTTTCATGCAAAAGAATATGACAGGTGAATGAAAAATATGGAGATTTGTCCAGCTGTGCACACATCAGACCACTAATCATTATTTATTTTTTATGCTATTTCAGGCCTCAGAGGTGAACAAGGTATGCCATTTAATGATCCTTATTATCCTCATGGATGCTAATGTTTGCTGTCATATGCTGTGACTTCCTCAGAAAAAATGGTTTCTCTTTCCTGATGTTAACCCAACACAATTACGTGCACAAATCCTTTGTTTTCCCAATACCACTCTCCTGTCTCCAGGATCTCCAGGAAGTGATGCAGATGTCCCTCGACTGTCCTTCTCGGCCGCCCTCACCCACCCCCAGCTCAGCTCAGGAACCATCATTTTTGACAAGGTCTTAGTTAATGAGGGAAGTCACTATGATGCAAGCACAGGTAAAGCACCGATAGTATCACGTCAAAAGAAGTTCAACCTTGAGCTAGAGAGAGGACTGTCTAATGTAGTGCTTTTACTGTACATTTTGCTGTCATTTCAGAACCTTCTGTTGTTGATGTAAGACCTGAAGTCCTTCAAGTAGTGCCTGCTCATGGGGTATTAATATAATTTCTGTGTAATCCTTCCTTTTCCTTCAGGGATCTTCACAGCACCAGTGGAGGGAAGGTACTTCTTTAGCGCCATCTTGACAGGTCATAAAAACAAGAAGATCGAGGCTGTGCTGTCCAAGTCAAACTATGGTGTAGCACGTGTGGACTCTGCTGGGTATCAACCGGAGGGCCTGGAGAATAAGCCCACAGCGGAGGCCAAACCTACACCCGGGTCTCTTGCTGTCTTTAACATAATCTTAGCCCTGAAGGAGGGAGATACTGTCTGTATTGACCTAGTCATGGGCAAGCTGGCCTACTCTGTGGAACCTCTCACCATCTTCAGTGGGATGCTACTATATAAGGATGCATAATACACCCCGATGTGCAGGAACAGCATTGACATGCAGAGACTGCGACTCCCTCCAAAATGATGTGGCCAGACCATAAAGCACGGTTTCTGGCCCGATCACAGAAGAAGGAAGAGGAGAGGATAGTTTTCAGTCACAATGATGATTTAATACTAGTGTCACTGTATGAAGCGAATATTACGAGAAACATCTGAAGAAGATGTGTATACTTCCGGAAATACTGCTTATCTGAAAGGAAGCTGAGACAACTGACACTGCAGGTCTTTATCGTCAATTTTTTCATGCACTATAGATACAAGTGTTATGAGTTATCTGCCAAAGTCAGCCGTATGATCTTGCAATCTCCTGACACGCCTTGCCAAAAATGTTCAGAAAGCAACGAAGACTGTGTCAGTATTTTTTTCAAGATATTGTGAACAAAAATGTATATTTTTAATAAGTTTTTACTTCTGTGTACTTCTGTGTGCTCTGATTCTTTTCCCTATCTGTTTACCGTAAAAAAAAGAATTAAACAAACCCTGTGCTCTGGCAGAAGAGGGGAAAGTTTCAGAACTGGCTGACTAAAGTATTTTCCTACCGTTCAAACCTTAGATTCATAGCCATGCTCTTTTTTATGCTGGGGTGAAGATGATCATTGTTCTAACAATGATTTACTATTTATTCAAACACCATGCAATATTTTTCCAGCTGAAAACTTACTTTTAAGAAACTGAAGTAATTCATGTGAAGGTATGGTTGTGTGTTTATAATCATAATCAAAAATAAAGAATATTTTATATGTGACATCTTTTCGTAAAAGCTGTAGCAGGGTCTTAGTCACACAGCTTTTCGACCAACAGCCGAAGATTGTGCGCTTACTATAAACAAAGCCTTTTAAACAACCGTATAAGGATCCATTAATGCGCTCGACCTCCCTTGGTGGATACGACTGAGGTTTGTCGTCTTCTGTAGGATCTCAAATACCTCAGTAACGAAGAGAGTTGAACGTGGCAGCCTCTTGCTTAAGCTTGAGCAAAGACATTCTCACTGGTGCCTCGATGATCTACAGTGAGATGATTCCACTCCGACATCCTCATAATAAACTAACTTAAGTGAAAAGCATGAATCAAACCAAAACCGAATACAAGTTTCCACACTGATTTGCTATATATAAAGTAGCAGAAATATCTTGCACCAGCAAACAGAACTGTTGTTAAACGCATTCTTTGGATAAAACATGGTGAAAGTGAAGTGTTTCTGTGCACTGTGCAATCTCAAAATTGGCTGTAAATTTTTCGTTAAATTTGTTTTATATGACTTTTCAGTTATCTGAAATGTGTTTGTTGGCGCTATGTGTGATTCAAATAAAGATATTTAATTTTACTCAGCTCCTTTTAACTAATTTTCTGATTTTTCCTGATCCTATCTAACCAACATTAACAATCAAATACAAACAGATGTTTAGTTATAGGTCTGACACAAGGAGCCATTTTAGAAAACGTGGCTCACAAAAGCAGAGTTGAATAAAGAAAATATGTTGTGTGTTTGTGAGCTCAGTAACTGTACTGAATGTGTTGACTTGCTGCGGTACATGGACCAGACTTTACACAAGACCTGGGTATTTTGGCACAGAATGTTAAGTTGGCTGTTATCCTGGTGCGTATGTTTTCAAAGAAAAGTCAAGCATGTTACAAAACAATTAAGATTTTACTCAGGGTTCCTCTGAAACCTGCCATCTTGAGGTCACAACACTGGGCCCTTAGCAGCCATGTTACTTGCAACATACAGTATGCACAATACACACTGGATAGAGCCTAGTAGAGAGAATAGCCTAAAAACTGCAAAACTGCTCTGTTTTTCCAAAGCCTCATCCAAGAATGTGATTTGGAAACTAGCCCATAAGTTCATGGAGCCCTGATTTTTTTTTTCTGGGTATGTGTCAACAGTTAGGCCAACAAGATGGAGGATTCTCTCTTTGTCTTTTTTTCACACCTGCAGGAGCTGGTCTATAGCCTGTATTCTGGTAGGGGAACTGAGGGGAGCTCTACAGGAAGATTAGAAAAACACTGTCTGTGAAGAAGCCATTTGTGAGCAGCGCTGATTTCTTCTCACAGCTGAAAGATGTGGAAAATCTACAGCAGCTGGGCCAGGACTTCTCATTTAACAAAATTCATTCTGTTGCAGAAAAGGAGATCTTGGTAGCTTTTGTGTTTCTGTAATTGCTAAACTAGAACTCTGAAGTACACTAAAGGGCATTTTTAGAGAGACACAGAGATTGCATGAAAAGGCAAATAATAGATAAGCAAATACAAAACACATGACAAACATTAATATTATGAATGAAAGAAAAACGACAGTGATCTTGGAGTAGTGGTGTATTTTTAGTGGGCCTGTCATAGTTTTTATAATAACGATATGTTTTTTGATAAATCATTGTATCAGTTCTGAATGTGAGTAGGAGATGTTCTCCTTGCCAGGCCTACTGAGGCAGCACAGCAGAACATCAGATTTCCTGTTTATCTTTGCACAGAACCAGCACGATATTCCCCAGTAGGTCTGTGAGCTGTGCTCCAAAGCCTGAACAGTGAGAGCAGTAAAACAATGGAAACCACAGCTTTCTTTATGGGTCAGGATTTGGTTTTGGTCTTGCAGTTATGTTTTTTTCCCCAATTTCATAGAAACTGACAAGCTGTCATGTGTGAATTGAAGCAGAAAACATCCAACAAAAGTGATACGGTTCTCAAGCTGCCATGGCGTTTGCTGATTGGAAGGAGACATTGGTACAGCCGAAAGTTATTTTACAGCCTAACCATCATGTCGCCCTTTGCTGCTGCTGCTCTGTTGTAACATTGTTTCACGTTACTCAACTATATTCTCATCCATCCTTCTCTTTTCTGTTACTGCTTAGGCTATCCAGTTATAGCTTAGAAGTAAAATGTGCATCAATCATTGATGTCAACATGACATTTTATACAGGAGTCAGTATAGTGTTCCAGTATAGGGTTACTACCACTACCATGATTCACGGATTCAAGGATTCAAAGTTTTATTTTCATATGTACAAAGAACAGTTTACAGAGTACAATGAAATAATTCTTTCTTCTTACTTTATTTACTAAATTACTACTACTACTACTTTTATTATTATTATTATTATTATTATTTTTCATGTATCATTATCATTATTATTTCCGTTCATTTTGGGTGTTACACTACTGACATCTTGTGGCTAAATTGTTAACTTTTATAACAATAGGCCCTCTTATTCCTTAACCAATTTTTAATAGAATAATTTGCACCCTTTCCCATTTTCAAAGACATAAAAAAATGGACATGGTATTATTTTGATACTCAGCGATATAATTTTGCGTAGCAATAATAATAATAATGTTTAACATACATTTCATGATATTGAAGGGGTGCGAACATGGACCGGAGAATATTTCTCGCGTTTGCAAACGTCGGGTTAAAAGTATGGCCGTCGAGCTACGTAACAGTGCTGCAGTTAAAGTAATTCAAGCCGCGCCGAGCGAATAAATAAGACTAAGCCTGGAACACAATGCGGCGAGATCCTCCCGCAGACCGGCGCCGCCCCCGCTCCCACGGCGTTCTGTTGCCAAGGAGACGAAGCGCGCAGCCCGCCGGCCGCGCGCAGACGGTCCGGGGCTGTGCTTGGAAATCATGCTCTGCGAGATCTTTAATCACTCTGATTCCGCTTGCTTATAGTATAGTTAGCAACTTAGCGATTAAATTACAGTTCGAAACTTTCTCATGTTTTGATGCCGAAAGTTTTTTAACAGTATAGCCATCGCATATATCCATCAGGGTAAGTAGTAGGTTCCTCAGAAATCTATCGGGGCTGTATCTCTTAATTACATAGAAATATGGATACTATAATATTCATATTAGACACGAAAAGTTAATGTAATTAAACCGAGACTATCTGACGTCCGTTTTGACCAAAACGAATTAGACCAGAATTACACCAGGAAATTAGTTATTGCAGTGTTCTTTAGACTGCGCCGTTGTTATTGCATAACCTTAACACATTTTATTTGTATTACTCACTAGCTATTCTAATTGTATGAGATTCTTTGTATTAATCATTTTAAATATGTGCTGCTCTGGTAATAGGGTTGTCATAATTTAATGTCAATATCTGCTTCTGTTTTTACTGCCTCTGCTAAAATCTCTAGTGTTGCCCTACGATATAGGTCATACCCCTAGCCTTAGCTAGAGAATAGGGCAGTAATGGTAGATTGAGAATGTGCTTCCCATCCTAGGGGAGGTCCCTGCTGTTCCAGGATGTGTCAGTCTCTGGCTGAGGAGCGCCTGGAGGTCCTTCAGGTCTACAGACTGCTTCAATACGTGCATGAGGGCAACACAACTCAGATGGAGAGGCTGCTCCACAGGGGCGTTCCCGGGCTGATCAACCTCACAGAACCACAGGAAGGAAACTGTGCTCTACATCTGGCCTCGGTGGCAAACTGCCTGGACATGGTGAACTTCCTGCTGTCCCAGGGGGGCCACCCTGACGTGCAGGACAAAAAGGGGCGAACGGCCGTGATGCGGGCAGCTGAACTCGGCCACGATGCCATCGTTGCCCTGCTGGCCAACAGCGACGCCAACATGAAGGCGGTGGACTCAGAGGGGAGAGGTATCCGTCTGCGAGTCACCGTCCACAGATTGCATGTTCTGGTTGGCCAAGTTCCCCATCTGTTATAGGATGAATCTCTCCCATGACCAGCCAGTCACGCGTATCAGACTCAGGGGAATTCTCCATGGCACCAGCGAATGCCTCACCTGATTGACTCATCACAATGCATGCCGTCCATCATTAAGTATTGATGGGTTTGGCCGAATGCTTTGAGAGGCCCTAAAGCATATCACATGACAGCCATCATAGTCAGCAGGTTGCAGTGCAGTCCGCAGGCATGGTAAAAGTACTGCACGGAATAAGCATGAACATGCATTAAAGCATTACGTCATCCAGAATGAAGGATGCCTGCCTTTACTGATAAAGCTACACTCCCTTGAAGGTCTGTCTTTAAGTTATTGTGCACGTGACGTGACTGTTTTTTTCCAGGCGTCCTGTTCTATTGCCTGTCTCCCACTAAGCGCCACATGCGCTGTCTGGATCTGGCTCTCGACCACATGGCAGACGTGAACAACGTGTCATTCGTGGGGAAGCCTGTGCTCCTGCTGGCCTGCGAACAAGCCCAGGACTGTGAGAGCATGTGCATCGCTTTACTGCAGAGAGGGGCGGACCCAAATGCAACCAATCAGGTCACTTCCTTTCTAGTGCCATGTGCACAGCCTTATGGGTTATGCGCATGCATGTATACTGGGACCATACAGTGAATTTTTTAAGCACTGTTTCTTAAGGGTGAAAGTCTACATTACATTGATTTTACTATCATGTGCCACATGTTGGTTTTATGTTCATTATGACTTTTGTAGCATATTTATAGTACAGTCCAATTAATAAAATTAATGTATCTGTATTCTAGTGAGGTTCGTTAAAGTTGCAGATATGTTTGCAGTGCTTTGCGTGCAGTGTGACTCCGTTATCACCTGACTCGGCCGTGATTGGTCTGCTGAACTGCTTGTCTCCACCCAGACGACGGGCCGTACACCTCTGATGGAGGCAGCCAGGGCTGGAGCCCTGGAGCTGGTGCGGGCCATCCTCCAGACTGGGGGGAACCCCAACGCACTGGACAAGAAAAGAATGCATGCAGCTCATTTTGCGGCTATGGGGGGCTTCTTTGAGGTAGCACACTATGGGCTTTAAATAACTGTCTATCAGTCATTATGGTTTCCTACCAGGTGTTTGTTCTAGAGTTTTGTGCATTTGGATCATGTCCCCCCCCCCCAGTCACCTTTGCTCAGCCCACCCCATCAATGGCTGTGAAAGGTGTGAAAAATGGGGTGTAGGTTAGATTAGGATTATTTTCTCTTCTGAATTTTTCAAAAACTTTCAAAGTCCTTTTTTGTAAAAATAAAATGCATAATAAACCTCAATAGAGAAGCAGCTTTGAAACTCTAATTAGGATTTCAGTCAAATAAATTCATTTCTACATGCCTTGTAATTTCAGTCATCCTTCTGCTTTTGATCCCCAGAGTTAATTTAGACGAGGTTTGAAAAGTTTGTTTGGTTAATGTTGAATATTGATTATTGGCTCCTGTAGGTCATTCGGGTGCTGTCTGCGTATTCGGCAGACCTTGGTATAATGGCTGCCGATGGGAACACACCACTCCACTATGCAGCACAGGGGGGTTTCTCCGAGTGCTGCAGGTTCCTAGCCCAGAGAGGTAGGCCACCATCAGCATGCCTTCTTCTGCATCCCCTCTTTAGGGATGGACTGGCCCAAATGCCTAGACCATGTTCTGTCTGTGTTGTGATTTTATCCATCCATCCATCCATCCATCCATTGTCTACAAACTCATCCTGGTCAAGGTTGTGGGTATATGCAACAGTTATTTAGTACTGTCAAATGTGATTAATTTTCTGCTCTCTATTGTATATTTTATGAGGGGATGAACAAAAATCAATCTTTTATCTAATGTTTTATTACTGTTTGAATGATTTTTTTATTAAATATTAATTTGCCATAATAAGCAAGTGTGGTTTTATATTTGGGATTCCAGGTTGCAATCCTAAATTGAAGAACTATGAGGGTTTGTTGCCCCGTCAGATTGCTAAAGACAACGGCCACAAGCAAGCACTGAATGAGCTGAAGAAGGCAGAGAGGCTCCACAGCAAGTTCTCCAAGCCTGGAGCAGTGAACCCCAACGAGCAGTGGACTGTCACTCTTCACGACTGGTCCTGTGAGCACGAGGCCGTGCTGATGGCTCTCTTTGCGGAGGCAGAGGACACGGCCATCTCTGCTGAGACTGTCTCCAAGGAGACCTTTATCTCCATTCTGCAGAAGAGGGGGGCGCCCGTAGACATTGACCAACTGCATGCAGTCGTTTCCTCCCATGATAAGAAGCGAGATGGTCAGATCAACCTCAGTGAGTTTTTCAAGGGACTGAAGTATCTGCATAAGACGTATGTCATCTCGTCCTACAGCCCTAAGAGGAAGAAATCCAGCACAGGCAGCAAGGGCAAGAAGAAGGGTAAGCTGGTCCTCCCCATGCCTATCTGCACTTTGCCCCCTGAGCTCATCCAAAGGCGTGAGGATGGCGGTCCCCCCCACTTCATGATAGAGAGCTACCAGCAGTTCACTGACACAAGCCGCTTTAGCAGAGACCACCCACCAGCGCATGCCATTGAAGATGACTCTGCTTGGTATGTCGACGAACCTGAGAAGATCTACGTGAACATTAACTACTGCGTCAAGACGGGGGACATGGAGTCGCTGCTGCTGGCCTTCAGACAGGGCGTGCCGTTGGACGTCAAAGATCGCTACTACAAGACGCCGCTCATAACTGCCTGCGTTTGTGGGAGCTACCAAGTTGCCAAGTTCTTGATTAGTTTGGGGTTAGCGCATGTGATTATTATTATTATTATTATTATTATTATTATTATTATTATTATTATTATTAAGCCTTCAACATTAGTGTTTTGGTCAAAGTCATCTTAACTTTTGTCGTAGTTGCTGTGTAATATTACTTTTGTTTTACGATAAAATGTGTGAGAATATGCTAATTAGCTGAGGAATTATTACGCATAGCTAAAAAAAGGTAACTGCGGCTCCGCCTTATTAATGTCGCATTCATTGCCTGCTGTGCTGCAGGGCTGATGTCAACGCATGCGACCAGTTCAACTGGACCCCCCTGCACCATGCCTGCCACGCGGGGCAGCTAGACGTGATCGAGCTGTTGGTGCAGGCGGGGGCGATGGTGGATGTGGCAGCCTGGAACGGAGCCACGCCGCTGATGAGGGCCATCGAGAGCTGCAGACTGAGCTGTGTGGACTACCTGCTCAAGGCTGGTGCCAAGGTACAGGCACAGAACAAGAAAGGTACCTTAGCAGACCTTGTAGCATTTACCATTTACTGTTAGGCCCCTGAAAGTGGATGAGCTTGTGTTTAGCTATGGTTTGGAATTTTCAGTGTCAAAGATGTTAATATGTCTTTAAATAGTTTTTTGCAATTATGTTTTAAAATCTTTTCATTAAACTTAATTACATTTATGTATTACATGTTGCCTAAAGACTGATTGAGTATAACCAGAATATCTCAGCGCCGTCCAAAAGGGCATTCTGAAAATAGGGGACAGACTAAATCTGCAGAGTGCAGGTCCTCTGGAAGTATTTTTAATTGATTTTTGAAAGTCGCTGAAAACCAAAAAAAATCTGGAAAGTTCCCTAAAGCTGAGGCCTTATTCACTATTTTGAAAAAAAAATTATTAGGCAGAGGGGAAGACTGAGAGGCAGGTGGGGGGGGAGGTTGTGAGGCAGGTCGAGGGGGGAGCCTGTGAGGTAGGTGGTAGGGGAAGGCTGAGAGGCAGGTGGGGGGCTGTGAGGCAGGTCGGGGGGGGAGCCTGTGAGGTAGGTGGAGGGGAAGGCTGAGAGGCAGGTGGGGGGCTGTGAGGCAGGTCGGGGGGGGA